CAGTGGCCGCTTCCGGCCACCGCAGCCTCGACCTGCTGGGCTCCAGGGATCCTTCTGCCTCAGCCTTCCAAGTAGCTGGAACTACAGATGCGCGCTAACATGCCGGCTAATTTTTTGATTTATTGTAGAGATGAGGTCTCGCCAAGTTGCCCAGGCGGGTCTTGAACCCGCGGGCTCAGGCAATCCACTCACTTCAGCCTCCCAAACTGCGAGATTACAGGCTGAGCCACCGAGCCCGGCTTACTGTGGACTTTATAAACACTGTACACTTAGGCTACATTAAATTTATTAAAAATTTTCTTTCTTTGATAGTAAATTAACTTTATCTTCTTTGATTTTTTAATTTTATAAATGTTTAAGTTTTTTAACTTTTTGACTCTTTTGTAATAACACTTGGCTTAAAGCACAAACACATTGTACAGCTGAGCAAAATTATTTTTTGTTTATATTCTTATTCCATATGATTTTTTCTATTTAAAAAATTTTTAATTTAAAAAAATTTAAATTTTTTGTTATTAAAATCTAATACACAAACATACACATTCCCCTGGCATACACAGGGTCAGGATAATCAATATCATTGCTTTTTTACTTTCATATTTTTTTCCAGTAGAAGACATTTAAGGGCAGTAACATGTATAGAGCTATCATCTCCTAGATTACAATGACTTCTTCAGGAATACCTCCTGAAGGACCTGAGGCTGTTTTACAGTTTACTTTTTTATTTATTTTAATAAATAGAAGGAATATTCTACATAATATATCTCAAAAAGATATTTTCACTTCTATGTTCATTGCAGCATTATTCATGATAATCAAGATATGGAAACTACCTAAGTGTATATCAATGACTGAATGAATAAAGAAAGTGTGTTGTGTATACTACAATGCATAGTATATTTGTGCTTATATATACACAAATATACTATCAAATAACAATATATACTATAACAAATCTACTATAAAATGATGAAAAGAATAGTAAATACATAAACTGGTAACATAGTTATTATCATGATCAAGTATTATGTACTATACATAATTGTATATGCCGTATTTTTATATGACTGGCAGCACAGTAGATTTGTTTACACCTGCATTACCACAAACGTGAGTAATGCATTGCATTATGGTATTATAATGGTTATGATTTTGCTAAGTGATAGAAATATTTTAGCTCCATTATAATCTTATGGGACAGCCATTGCATATGGGGTCTGTCATTGACCAAAATGTTATTATGTATGCATGACTGTTTAACTTTATAAGAAATTGCCACTGTTTTCCAAAGTGGCTATATCATTTTACTTTCCCACCAGCAGTACCCTTATTTGGCAATGGCACAGTTTTTAACTTTAGTCATTCCAATGAATGTGTAGAAGTATCTTATTATATTTTAATTTGCATTTTTCTGATGACTAATGATATTAAGTGTTTTTCCACATGCCTATTGGCCATTTGTACATCTGTGGTGAAGTGTTCATTCAAATCTTTTGCTCATTTTAATTTTTCCCAGCTTTATTACGATTTAATTGACAGGTAAATTGTATATATTTAAGGTATGCAGTGTAAAGTTTTGATTTATGTATGCTTTGGGAAATGATGACCACAATCTAGCTAATTTAACATATGTATCACCTCATATAGTTACCTTTTTTTTAGTATGGTGAGAATATTTAAGATTTATTCTTATAGCATATTTCAAGTGTACACTACATTATTGCTCACTATAGTCATCATGGTGTACATTAGGTCTCCAGAACTTATTCATCTTATTACTGAAAGTTTGTACCCTTTGGCCAACATCTCCTCATTTTCTCTATTCATGACCCCCGGAAATCAATTTTCTACTCTGTTTCTTTGAGGTTAACTTTTAATTTTTTAATTTTTTTTATTTTTTGAGTTGGAGTCTCACTCTGTCGCCCAGAATGGAGAGCAGTGGCCGCTCCCGGCCACCGCGGCCTCGACCTGCTGGGCTCCGGCGATCCTTCCGCCTCAGCCTTCCAAGTAGCTAGAACTACAGGTGGGCGCTACCATGCCTGGCTAGTTTTTGATTTATCGTAGAGACAAGGTCTTGCCAGGTTGCCCAGGCGGGTCTTGAACCCGCGGGCTCAGGCAATCCACTCACCTCAGCCTCCCAAAGCGTGGGATTACGGGCTGAGCCACCGAGCCTGGCTGAGTTTAACTTTTAAAAATTCCACTTGTAAGTGAGACCATGTAACATTTGTCTTTCTGTGTCTTTGAGATTCATCTGTATTTTTGCAAATGACAGGATTTCTTTATTTTTTAAGGCTGCATGATATTCCATTGTGTATATATACATCACTTTTTCTTTATTTATTCAAATGTCGATGGACATTTAGTTTCTATATTTTGGATATCATGTATAATGCTGCAGTGAACATGGGGATGCAAATATCTTTTCAAAATAGTGATTTTATTTCTTGTGGATATATACCCAGAAGTGGGAATGCTAGATCATATATGTGGTAGTTCTAGTTTTAAGTTTTGGGGAGTCTCCATACCATTTTTCATAATAGCTGTACCAAATTACATTCCCACCAACAATGTTTAAATGTGTTCCCTTTTCTCTAAAACCTCAACAATATTTGTTATCTCATGACTTTTTGATAATAGTTATCCTTACAGATGTGAGGTAATATTGCATTGTGATTTTGATTTGCATTTATCTGAAGATTACTGATGTTGAGCACCTTTTCATATACTTGTTGGTTATTTGTAGGTCGTCTTTGAAAAATGTCTAAACGCATTTTTTGCCCATTTTTGATTGAGTTCCTTATATATTTTGTTTATTAACTCCTTATTGGATATATGGTTTTCAAATATTTCTTATATTCTTTAGATTATCTTTTAATTTTGTTTTTGTTTCCTTCGTTGTGCAGAACATTTCAGTTTTATATAGTCATACCTATTATTTTTTGCTTTTATTGTTTGTGATTTTGGTGTCATATACAAAAAATCATTGCCAAGACCAATGTCATGAAATCTTGACCATTTTAAAATCAAGTTGTTTGTCCTACTGAGTTTTAAAAACTCTTTATATATTTTGCATTGTTTGTGAAGAACAGGACCTTGGGAGATAGCTATTTGGGTTAGTTTCTAGATTGACCACGTGTCTGTGAGAAGTGAAATGAAGCAGAGATGAGAAAAACGTCAGTATATGTTCAACATTTATTTATTGTCAATTTTAATGCAATCCAGTTGTTTTAATCCAAACACAAAGATTGGTACAGTCAAACCAAGGAGTGGCAGATAGTCTTCTTTTCCATCTGGGTATGGATGATATTTTTCTAAGTGGAAAGGCCAGTGAACAACAATATTAAGTGGGAGTCATTGAATTTCTTTGCTGTGACTCTTCTCAAGTTTTTATAATCTCGAGCAGCTTCTTAGAAGTAGGGGTGAAACCAAGTTAAGACCACATTTGGATGTTTTTATCCTGCTCCTTAAGAAATCTATCCCCACTTTGTAAGAAATAATGCTCTTGCTCACTGGCTAGAGAAGAGACCCTGATGCGACTTTTCAATACCACTGGTTAGCTTACTGATTAAAGATGTACCCAGTAATAGGACTTGGCAATTTTTATAAGGAAAGAAACTATCGATTCTGCATCTTTGCTCTCAGGAACTTCTCACTTCTGCCACAATTCAACATAGGTCACACTGAATATTAGGGTACACACTGTTGTAAAACAAAGTTTTGACTTCAAAACTGGTAATGCATTAATAATATTATTCTTTACAGAAATGCAAGCTTAGCTTTGGCAATATCTGTAATTGGATTATAAGCCCTGGAAATAGATACATCAACCAAACCCCAAGCTCTTTAAATGCTTTGTGTTATCCTTCCAAGTTTAGCCCACTAATCAGTTATTCCATTTAGTAATTCCTAAGAAAGTAGCCTAAGTGCCCTATATTCTCTGAAAGCAACCGCATAACAAAAAATAGACTATAGTTGTAGGCTTAAAAGAAAAAGATAGAAACAGATCCACTTTTAGAAGGAAGATTTCATTATGAATTACATGTCTGCAACAGTTTATTTCCTAAGTTGAGGTTTGAGTAAATTTCCCTTCTATTTACTTTTCTTGCCTAAAAGTAGATTCAGCTCTTGGAAATATTTGTGAAGTGGAGTGTTACTAATATACAAACTATGGGAACATGAACTGATATTTCTCCTTCCATGACTAACTCTGTCTCTACTCTGATAATGGTAACCAACTTGTTCATTGAAAACATTGCAAACTGACAATTTATTGGTTCAACTGGACCTATATTGTCCACAAGAGGATACTAATTGTCAAAACTTAAAACCTGAGAAGATTTCTCTTTGCTATAACTACTTACTGCTTGCGCTTCAAAACAATTTAAGTGACTAAGGGTAGATTCCCGTGCATCCCACGACAATATTGTAATTCATTTTGTTCATACCTAGAACACTGTTGAGATCCAGAAATGCACTGTTAAGAAAAAGAAGATTAAGTTGAACCAGATTGATATTGTTCATTGCCAGACCAGTGAGAGGATCCAAAGGAACATGGTCCAGAGGTAGCTGACTGACATGCCAAAGATCAACATTGTAAAGTTAAACAATACTGAGATGATGAATCATGATGCTCAGAGTAAAAAGAGGAAAATAAGACAGATGCATAGGCAACAGATGTACAACAATGACTCAAGACACTAGAATGTTGGCTATACTGAGAAGATTCAATATGCCAGGTCAATACTGGATAAAGCCAGAAGAGAGTAATGGGACAGATTCATCTTGAAAAAGACTGGAAAACTGATCTGAGCCACAGTCACTTTGGCCATAACCAGCAGACTTATCAAAGCCTGACCAACGCTGACCATAGTTAAAAAATTGATCAGAGCTAGATTCATGTTGGCTCCATAATGATGACTGTTCTGATAGAAAACCGTGTTGTCCTAGGAGACAGAATTGATGTGAGCTAGACTCGTGGTGCCCAAAGGTAGAAGACAGACCTGAGCAGCAGCCATGTTGACTATGGCTGGAAGACTGACCGGAGGAAGATCCCTTTTGGCCATAACAAGAAGACTGACCGGAGCCAGACCAATATCGGCCGCGGCTGGGAGACAGGCCCGATCCAGACCCGTGTCGGCTGTGGCCAGAAGACTGACCACAGCCAGAACCATGTTCACGATAGCTGGAAGACTGAACCGAGCTTGAACCATGCTGGCCACAGCATGAAGACTGGCCTGATGTAGAACCATCTTGCTCATGGCTGGAGGAATGACATGAGCCAGATCCGTGCTGACTGTAGCCAGAAGACAGTCGGGAGCCAGACTCATGTTGCCCAAAGCTAGAAGATTGACCAGAACCAGAACCGTGCTGGGCGCAGCTGGAAGACTGACCGCAGCTAGATTCTTCTTGGCCCCGCCTGGAAAACTGACCTGATGTCGAACCGTGTTGCCCATAGCCAGAGGACTGGCCTGAGCCAGATCCGTGCGGACCGTAGCCAGAAGACTGTCCTGAGCCAGACTCATGTTGCCCAAAGCTGGAAGACTGACCGGAGCCAGCCCCATGCTGGCCGTAGCTGGAAGACTGACCGGAGCCAGACCCATGCTGGCCATAGCTGGAAGACTGACCTGAGCTACATTCATGCTGGCCCGACCCTGACGAGTGTCCCGATGTGGACCCCTGGTGTCCGTGGCCGGAGGACTGACCGGAGCCAGACCCATGCTGACGGTGGCCAAAAGACTGTCCTGAGCCAGATTCGTGGTGCCCAGAGCTAGAAGACTGACCGGAGCCGGAGCCATGTTGGCCGGGGCTGGAAGACTGACCGGAGGAAGATCCCTTTTGGCCCTGGCTGGAAGACTGACCCGAACCAGACCCACGTCGGCCGCGGCTGGGAGACCGGCCAGAGCCAGACCCGTGTCGGCCGTGGCCAGAAGACTGACCGGAGCCAGACCCGTGCTGGCCGCAGCTGGAAGACTGACCGGAGCTAGATTCCTGTTGGCCCCACCCTGACGACTGACCTGACGTCGAACCGTGTTGCCCATAGACAGAGGACTGGCCTGAGCCAGATCCCTGCTGACCGTAGCCAGAAGACTGTCCTGAGCCAGACTCATGTTGCCCAAAGCTGGAAGACTGGCCGGAGCCAGCCCCATGCTGGCCGTAGCTGGAAGACTGACCGGAGCCAGACCCATGCTGGCCGTAGCTGGGAGACTGACCGGAACCAGACCCACGTCGGACGCGGCTGGGAGACCGGCCAGAGCCAGACCCATGGCGGCCGTGGCCAGAAGACTGACCGGAGCCAGATCCGTGCTGACCATAGCTGGAAGACTGACCCGTGCTTGATTCCTGTTGGCCCCACCCTGACGACTGACCTGACGTCGAACCGTATTGCCCATAGCCAGAGGACTGACCTGAGCCGGATCCCTGCTGACCGTGGCCAGAAGACTGTCCCGAGCCAGACTCGTGTTGCCCAAAGCTGGAAGACTGCCCGGAGCCAGACCCATGTCGACCACGACTAGGGGACCGGCCAGATCCAGACCCATGTCGGCCATGGCCAGAAGACTGACTTGAGCCAGACCCATGCTGACCGTGGCTGGAAGACTGACCTGAGCCGGACCCATGTTGGCCTAGGCTGGAAGACTGACCGGAGCCAGACCCGTGTTGGCCATAGCCTTTGGAAGACTGACCTGAGCCCGAGCCGTGTGGGCCGCGGCTGGGAGACCGGCCAGATCCAGACCCATGGCGGCCATGGCCAGAAGACTGGCTTGAGCCTGACCCGTGCTGACCATAACTGGAAGACTGACCTGAGCTAGACCCGTGCTGGCCACAGCTTGATGACTGTCCCGATGTGGAACCATGTTGTCCGTGGCTAGAGGATTGACCGGAGCCAGATCCGTGCTGACCGTAGCCAGAAGACTGTCCTGAGCCAGACCCGTGGTGCCCAAGGCTAGAAGACTGACCGGAGCCGGAGCCGGAGCCGGAGCCGGAGCCGGAGCCATGTTGGCCGTGGCTGGAAGACTGACCGGAGGAAGATCCCTTTTGGCCCTGGCTGGAAGACTGACCCGAACCCGACCCGTGTCGGCCACGGCTAGGAGACCGGCCCGATCCAGACCCGTGTCGGCCGTGGCCAGAAGACTGACCGGAGCCAGACCCATGCTGGCCATAGCTGGAAGACTGACCTGAGCTACATTCATGCTGGCCCGACCCTGACGAGTGTCCCGATGTGGACCCCTGGTGTCCGTGGCCGGAGGACTGACCGGAGCCAGACTCATACTGACGGTGGCCAGAAGAGTGTCCTGAGCCAGACTCGTGGTGCCCAGAGCTAGAAGACTGACCGGAGCCGGAGCCATGTTGGCCGTGGCTGGAAGGCTGCCCGGAGGAAGACCCCTTTTGGCCGTAGCTGGAAGACTGACCCGAGCCAGACCCATGTCGGCCGCGGCTGGGAGACCGGCCAGAGCCAGACCCGTGTCGGCCGTGGCCAGAAGACTGACCGGAGCCAGACCCGTGCTGGCCGCAGCTGGAAGACTGACCGGAGCTAGATTCCTGTTGGCCCCACCCTGACGACTGACCTGACGTCGAACCGTGTTGCCCATAGCCAGAGGACTGGCCTGAGCCAGATCCCTGCTGACCGTAGCCAGAAGACTGTCCTGAGCCAGACTCATGTTGCCCAAAGCTGGAAGACTGGCCGGAGCCAGCCCCATGCTGGCCGTAGCTGGGAGACTGACTGGAACCAGACCCACGTCGGCCGCGGCTGGGAGACCGGCCAGAGCGAGACCCATGGCGGCCGTGGCCAGAAGACTGACCGGAGCCAGACCCGTGCTGACCATAGCTGGAAGACTGACCCTTGCTTGATTCCTGTTGGCCCCACCCTGACGACTGACCTGACGTCGAACCGTGTTGCCCATAGCCAGAGGACTGGCATGAGCCACATCCGTGCTGACTGTGGCCAGAAGACTGTCCCGAGCCAGAGTCGTGTTGCCCAAAGGTGGAAGACTGACCGGAGCCAGCCCCATGCTGTCCGTAGCTGGAAGACTGACCGGAGCCAGACCAATGCTTGCCATCACTGGAAGTCTGACCTGAACAAGACCCACGTTGGCCGCGGATGGGAGACCGGCCAGATTCTGACCCATGGTGATCGTCGCCAGAAGACTGACCGGAACCAGACCTGTACTGACCATAGCTGGATGACTGACTCGTGCTTGATCCATTATGGCCACAGCTTGATGACTGTCCTGATGGAGAACCATGTTGCCCGTGGGTGGCGGTTTGATCTGATCTAGGTCTGGATTGACCGTATCCAGAAGCCTGTCCTGAGCCAGACTCTTGTTGCCCAAAGCTGGAAGCCTTACTGGATCCCGACCCATGATGGCCACAGCGGTAAGACTGACTTGAAGAACATCCTTGTTGTCTGTTGCTGAAGGAATTATTTGATCCCAGTCCTTCTCGGTGTGGACTTGGATAACGTCCCTCTCCAGACCCGTGTTGGCTATGGCCAGAAGACTGACCGGAGCCAGACTTCTGCTGACCATAGCTGGACGACTGACCCGATCTTGATCCATACTGGCTACATATTGAGGACTGTCCTGTGGTCGAACCATGTTTCCCATGAGTGGAGGATTTACCTGTGCCAGATCTGTGCTGACCGTAGCGAGATGACTGGATTGTGGCAGACTCATGCTCAGTGTATGTGGAAGACTGACTTGAGCTAGATTCTTCCTGGCTACAGCTTGATGACTGTCCTGTTGTAGAACCATGTTGTCCATGGTTCGAGAATTGTCCTGAGCCTGTTCCGTGCTTACTGTAGCCAGATGACTGTCCTGAACTATATTCCTGGTTCCCAAAGCCAGAAGACTGTCCATAGCCAGAGTCATTTTGCCCGTGGTTGGCAGACTGAGCCCAGGAAGATCCCTTTTGGCCATGGCTGGAAGACTTACTCGAATGTGTTTTGTGTCCACCGCGACCAGGAGTCTGGCCCAATCCAGACCCATGTCGACTATGCTCAGAAGACTCACCTGAGCCAGATCCATTCTGACCATAGCTGGAAGAATGTCCCGAGTTTGATCCATGCTGGCCACAGCGTGTTGATTGTCCTGATGTGGAACCATTTTGCCCATGATTGGAGTATTTTCGTGATCCAGCTCTGTGCTCACTGTCGCCAGAAGAATGTCCTGAATCAGAGTCCTGGTGATGTAACTGGGAAGAATGGCCTTCTTCAGATCTACGTTCTTTGCATTTGGAAGACTTTGTGAATCCACATCCATGTTTGCCATTTCTAGAATTCTGATTTGAACTAGACCTTCGTTTATCAGGGCTTGGTGATCGGCTAGATGAATTCTGACTTGAGCTAGACCTTTGTCTGCCAGGGCTAGGAGATTGGCTAGATGGAGACCCATGTTCCTCATGGGTAGAAATCTGACTTGAGCCAGACTCATGATCAGTAAACCTGGAAGAACGACCTGAGCGTGTGACCTGGCCACAGCTTGATGTCTGTCCTGTTATCGAACCATGTTGCTTATGGCTATAGGATTTACCTGAGCCATTTTCGTTTTGCCTGTAGCCACAAGACTGTCCTGAACCTGTCTTCTGTTGTCTAGACATAGAAGACTGACTTGAGGTAGACCCATACTGTCCACAGTTTGAAGAGTGACCTGAATCAGACCTACCCTGGCCCTTGCTGGAAGACTGACTCGGGGGTGATCCCTTTTTGCCATAGATGTAAGACTGACTTGAAGCAGGACCATGTGTACCACTGCTGAATGACTTTCTCAATTCTGACTCATGGTGGCCATAGTCAGAAGTGTGGCCTGAGCCAGAACCATTCTGCCCATAGCTGGAAGAAGAATCTGAGTCAGTTCTATATTTATCATTGTTAGAATACTGACTTGAGCTAGACTCAAGTTTGTCGTAGTCAGACATTTGATTAGAGGAAGATTGTTTTTGGCCATTACAGGAATGCTGTCCTGAGCTAAATTCACATTGGCCGTAGCCTGATGATTGACTTGATGTTGATCCATGCTCATAACGGGAAGACTCACTTGAACTGGAAGTATATCCTTGTTCTTTACAGTTTCCTATTTGAGATTCTACATTTGTATCATACCATATTTGTTCAGCAGGATGACCTGAGCAAGAATCTTGACCACAGCCAGTTGTCTCATTTGAATTTGACCAATATTCTTGTCCTTCATAACTTCCTGAGCTGGATTCATTATGCTGCTTTCTAGGGGACTTGTACAATTTCTTCTTATGTCGTTTATTTTCCACGGATTTGTTTGAATCATACCATTGTTGATCAGAACTGAAAGACTGATCTTCTGAGTGACTTATATGTCCTTTTTCTCCACAACTTTCTGACCAGTTTGCTGTGTTTGATATTTTTCTACAGTTATTTGAATAAGTATAACCACCTTCTTCACTACCTGACCTTTTTTGCTGATGAGAACCATGTTTGTTTTTCTCACTATCCTTAATGGGCACTGAACTTGACTCTGTTATTTCTTCATAGCTTTGCCTGTGCCTAGAACTAGACAAGACATTCTGAGGACCCAGTCTTCTAGATTTGGACTGAGTCCTGCCTTTAATGTTTCCTTTGGAGCCCTTGGAATACGAATCATTCTTTTTTGTTCTCGAACTTGAATGACTGGAAGAGGATTCTTGTCCGTTGTCCTCCTCTTCTGTTTCACTTTGTTCCTCTTGGTGCTGGTGACTGTGATCTTTCTGCTTTGACCCTGAAGCTTGGTAGTAATCTTTGCCAATGATATTATTACAAGCCTTAGCCAGCTTGAATATCATCAGAAGATACTCAGTAAAATCCACTTTCTTGTTATGATCTTGATCCAAATTTTGCATGATGACATTCACAGTGTCTGGATCATCTGGATTCTGTATAGGAACAAGGTACATAAGGCAGCTGTTAGTATGGACCCTACACCTTGCTAAACAATTGAAAGAAGGCTATGGAAATGTGAATGTTTATTCATTTACATGGGACTCAACTGCACAGTTTTTAAGGCTGAATTGCCCTATTCTGAACAAAAAGAGAGAAAAATACATATGCAATGAATAATGCACTGATAAATAGCTAGAAAATGATGCAGCTGGAAGATGAAAGGAAATAGAGGACTGATTATTTTTGGTAAAGAATGGGTTCAAATATGGATGATTAGTTAATTTAGAAATAATAATTTTAGGCACCTGCATTAATTATATATGACTTTTCTTTATTTGTTCAATTTTATTAATTAGTTAATGAATTTATTCATCCACAAAGGTATCTTATGATAGTATCTGCCTAGCATATAAAACACTAAACATGTTTGTTTCCTGAAAAAATAGAACTTAAAGCTGAGTGGGTCAAATATAGAACATTAAAATTATAATTTATTATAATAAGGTTTCTGTGAGAGTACATCAGATGGGAATCATTAAGAATCCAAGAAAAGTTAATAAGAATAAGTGCTGCCATTTGAAGGATATGTTAAAATTAACAAAATGAAGAGGTAGAAAGGGAAGGAGAAGGGATAAAAGATTGTTTCAGGCAGAGGAAATGATGTGAACAAAGGACTAGAGGTGACAGAAAACATGAAGCATTCAAGGAACTGAAAGAAATCAGGATTTCTGGTTTTGCAGTTTGAAGAGCCAAGAAATGTGGCTAGAGAGATTAATAGGGACCACATTATGACATTTAAGTCATGGCAAGGAAATTTGTACTTTTATTTAAAGAGCATTTGGGAGCTGTTGAAGGATTTTGAGCTGAGGAATAAAATGATTATATTTGCATCTAATGCTGAGATTAGTAGCAGTAGGTGGCCTGAACCAGAGTACTAGCAATAGCAATAAAGAGAAATGGGCTGTTTTGAGAGACTACTGATTTGAGTTAGATGGAGGTTGGAAGGTGGCAGTGCCTGCTGAGAGAGAGGAAAATAAGAATGGCACTAGGTTTTTACCTTGGGCAAAAAGGAGAAAGCAAGTTTAGAGGGGAAGATGATGAGATTCATATCTGACACACTGAGTTTAAGACATCCATAGAAATCCAAATAACAATATTCAATAGACAGTTGGATTTTAAAAATTGAAGCTAAAGAGCCTGATCTAAGCTTCAAAATATTTATTTCTAGACCTGTTTTAAAGTGGTGGTCACTGTCTTTTGTGATTCAGGGTTAAATCCTAATTTCCTGCACATAGAGGCCTTATAGTTTCAGGATGTCAGAAGTGGGCAATGGTCAGGACATTTTGGGCTGAAGAAAGACAAAGAAAGGGAAGAAGATACATTTCATCTATGTTGCAGTTTTTCTGAGGACTGTCTCATCTATAAGGATTGCTCACATAGATAGGACATTATTTAATGAATGTTTTATCTGTTGTTTAGTGGGATCACTTTCCTTGATTTTGCTACGGAAACCATTATGGGTCATCTTTTGACCTTATCTCAAGCCTTTACCAAACCCTCTACCACCAAGTAGGATGAGTCCTAGGATATGTGACAAAAAAGTAGGAAAGGATGAAGAAGAAAATAGCTGCAGAATTCAGTCCTGGCATGGAATTCTTACCTTCAGAATTTGATGAAACTCATTCTCCAAAAGTTCTTTCAGCTCTGCCTTGTTCAACATATCGTATTTCCCATGCTGGGTGGCATATTTGTAGAAAACATCCATGATAGTGAGAATTTCTTTTAGGAGTTTAGGCATATTTTTGCAAGTTTAGTTAACCTAAAGGAAAGAAAAAGAGAGATCCACCTCTCATTATTCCTTTTTCTTGCTTAAACACATAAATAAGTCTAATCATGTATAATAATTGTTCAGACTTAGTCAAGCACGATTAAATTCATTCTGTTGTAATAAAGAACCAATCCAGAGTTGAATGACTTGTTCAAGCCATGTGGCAAGAGAGTGATGAAATTAGGAGCAGAGTCCATATCTCTCATTTCCATTCCTGAATGAATGTAGGAGAAATGACTTTCTGTTTGGAGCTCCTTCCTCTACAAGTGGTAATATTATGAACTTTGATCTGTTGCTACAAAAGTCCTGAGTGTGCCAATTTGCTTCCTGTTTCTCTTCTGATACCCACCATTATACTGTGGGGTGCAGGTCCATCATCTACATGGTATGTCTGACTCCAGTTAAGGAGTACCAGTGGCTAAACTGGACCCCCAAGACTTCTGGGAGTGACTTTGTCTAAAGTAAACAAAGTGATCAGAGCCAACCACAGGCCTAGGTGATATGAAGCTGGGGGAAATTGCTGTCAAAGGTAGCTTCTCTTTTCATTCTTCAAGCAGGAACTGACCCCTCAGGACTTACTTGTTATACAACAGAGGGAACACAATAGAAAAGAAGGCAACCTGCCTGTGGATAATTTGATCCCCATGATCTTAAGGAAATGAACCCAAATAAAGAGATTATATACATAGTCCTAGCCATTGCTTCATCTTCTTTCTCAATAAAGCTAAACTAATACCAAAGCTTCCCGGAGCACACTAAAAGCAAGCCTGGTGTCCAATGTCTCTTTGCCTAAAAGCACACCCTGAACTTACATAATTTATCTCCTTAAGTACCGGAGCTAAACTCCTGCTCACTTACCTAGTTCACCAGAGGAACAAGTAGGATAGAGACTGAAGCAGCTTGCAGGGTGCTGCTAGTTGAGCATAGTGGCCTTTTTATAGAGGGAATAATGGTCCATGTTAGGGAGGAGCTGCCCCCTTTGAGATGTCCTAATTCATACCTAAACAAGCCCATCTCCACCTCCTGGGTGTTTACCTTCTTTCTCACTTCCGTACATGTTTACCTGAGATTGCATTAGCAGTTCCCAAATCTGGGCTAATATCAGCTCCACCTGCCAGAGTCCCAGGGCACTTTGCAAAAAGGTCTTTTCATGTATTCACCAAACTATCTAGCACAATGCATTAACAGCAAACTGTGTAGACTTTAATAGAAGTTGAATGGAGTGGGTGCAGGGACATCAAAACCCAAAGATAAAAGAATTAAAAGGAAACTCAAAGATCATCTAGTCAAATTTATCCATTCTAAACTAAATTTTAAAAATGGGATTCAAGTCAAAGTCTCATCTGTGAAATTATTACATATTGGAATGGATAATGGCTCCAGGGGCTCTCCTTTCATCTCTTTACTGAACTCAATTTACTAGACTTTAGTGGCCACTCATCAATGTAGCTTTCATTTTAACCACCATAAAACTTTAGGAAGAAATGTATGCTTTCTAGCATGGTTTCTGACATTCCTCATGATGTAGACTGTGGCTTTTCTCCAACTCCATTTCTTCTCTCTATGTTTTCCTTTGTGCCCCACCAGTAATTAACTACTTCAACCTTCCTCAATACGTTATGCTATTTCATAGTTTTCCTTGGAATGTCTTTCCTCATCATATGCCTAGTGAACTATTTATTGTTCAAAATCTACTTTAGCCTTTCTGTAGGAAATTTTTTCTTGAATTAATGGCATTGTTTATCCTTGTGTCACTTGGAGACCCACCATATTGCTTGTCACATAAAGATCTCCAATATATTTGTGAGCTCAAATTATTGAATTGAAAGAGGAGCAAGAGTCAAGACTACAAGTCCTTTGCATTAGTCAGCTTCTACTTTTTCACAGTAGAACTGAGATCTGCCCTCTCTCTTGCCGTCTTTGCCTCAGATGACATGATTTTACCTGAATATAAACTGAATATTAGTATTTGGGAGTCAATGAGTAACTTTCTGCTTATTCCCGAGGACCTTGCTCTGCATTTCATCTATTGAGAGTATATGACACAAATTTCATTGAAGGTGTATGAAGTTACATAGACTTAAAACTTGTGCAATATTGTCTTCAGGATTTGAGAAGGTGTGGTAGCAACTATTGGCAAATGATAAATTACATGATTCCAAATTCAACTATGGCTAGGCTATGTGTTTTCTTCTAAGAAATGCCCAGAAGGCTGCAGAGTCAGGATCCATTTGTGACTGTGTTTCCTCTGGATGCCTGATTGGGCCAGGTTTTCATGCTTCATCAGCACTGACCTTTTTAAAGGTGTGACTGAGACTGTGGGAGTGAAGGGGAGGTGTAATCTGCTGAGTGAAGACTGATTTCCTGTAGGAGCTGGCTGTAGTCACAGAGGGAGAAAAGGGTTATGAATGAAGACTATTTCAGGTGAACGTGCTCTTGGGGCCAGTATTCTCCTTAATTAGGGTCAGCCAATATTTTCCTAAAGGACCAGATAGCAAATATTGGCTTTGCAGGCCAGATGGTCTTTGTTGAGTGACTCAGCTCTGCAGCCATAGATAATATGTTAAAAAAGAGCATGGCTATGTTTCATTAAAACATATTTATTGACACTTATCTATGAATTTCATATAATTTTACATGTCATTTTTTAAACCACGTAAAATGCAGAAAATATTCTTAGCTTGTGGGCCATATGAAAACTGGTGACAAGCTAGCTATCGCCTGTGGCCTGTAGTTTTACTATTCTCTGCTCCTCTTCTGTATTTGCTTGTCAGGAAGATTCTCCAGTAGAGGAGACTCAGAGAGAAAAAAATGGCTGAAAAGCATGGCTTATCAGAACCACTACTCTTGTAAGAGAAAAGTACATATGTGTTTGCAAATGTCAGTATGTGTGGGATGGTAGGGAAAGGGAATAGAGGGATCTTTGGGTGATCATAAAAGGGACATAGATTTTTGATTTGATGTAAGGAAGAAATATTTAACATCTGAATTGATTGAAAATGCAGTGAACTCTTTGTGAAGTAATTGAATTTATTGTCAAGGGTATTATAGGTATTTTTATGTATTGTGTAAATGACTTTTACTCTTTTTAAAAAAAAAATTCTTTCGGCTTCCTGCACCCTTCACTGGGCTCAGGCAACCCTTCTACCTCAGCCTTCCAAGTAACTGGAACCACAGGCGTGTGCCACCACAACCCTGGACTCAGGCAATCCTCTTGCCTCCACCTCCCAAAGTGCTGGGATTACAGCCTCTGCTTTACCCAGAAAGAAAAGAAATTCACAGAACAATCAGTCCAAAGACTCAGTCTAAGGAAGAGTTTTAGACTCTTCTTTGGTGATGAGCAAGATGTCCCTGGATCTAAGAATAGAGCAAGGTGTCTCTGGATCTAAGAAGTGGGCAAGATGTCGCTGGATTTTAGAGGGAAACTGGCAACAGGGGCTCCTGGGGACTGTATCTGGAAATGGAGATGACTGACTCAAGCAATCAGTGAGGAGGAGGTCCTTCTGATCCAGCACCCAGATGAACTTTGGTGAGGAGGCCAAGGAGCCCTACATCCTCACTTACAATTACAGCACTTCCTTTGGAAATGGTCTGAGAAGAATGTTGCTGGTAATTTGATGGGTATTGCATTGAATTTGTAGATTGCCTTAGGTAAGATGGACATCTTCACAATGTTGATTCTTCCAATCCATGAGCATGGGACATTTTTCCACTTGTTTGTGTCATCTTTGATTTCTTTGAGCAGCGTTTTGTAATTTTCATTGTAGAGGTCTTTCACGTATCTGGTTAGGAAGATGCCAAGGTATGAGATTCCAGAAGCAAAACCTCAATTTCTCAACCAACTCATCTTCGACAAGCCCTCCATCACCTACCACTGGAGAGAGGTGAACCTATTCAGTAAATGGTGCTGGTAAAACTGGTTGACTACATGCAGAAGATTGAAACAGGACCCCTATCTATCCCCATGCACAAAGGTTAACTCCAAATGGATCAGAGACCTAAATGTAAAACCTCAAGCCATAAGAACCTTAGAAAATGAAGGAAATTCCCTCATGGAAATCGGAACTGACATCCAATTCCTGAACAAAACCCGAAACCCACAGGTCAAAAGAGAGAAGATAGACAAGTGGGACCTTATTAAACTGACAAGCTCCTGCAAGGCCAAAGAAACCATCAAGAGAGCAGGGAGACAGCCTACAGACTGGGAAAAAGTATTGATAACACTAGGTCTGACAAAGGCTTAACATCCTGGATCTACAAGGAACTAAAACGTGCTGAAAAGAAAAAAACAAACAACCCCATTATAAAATGGGCAAAAGATATGAACAGACACTTCACAAAAGAGGACATCTGAGCAGCCAACAAACACATGAAGAAATGTTCAACCTCACTAATCATCAGGGAGATACAAATCAAAACCACACTGAGATACCACCTAACTCTAGTCAGAATGGCAATTATCAACAACTCAAAAAATAACAGCTGCTGGAGAGGGTATGGCAAAAAGGGAACACTTCTACACTGTTGGTAGGAGTGTAAACTAGTGCAACCTCTGTGGAAAGCAGTGTGGCGATTCCTGAAAGCTCTAAATATCAACCTCCCATGTGACCCCACAATCCCCCTACTGGGAATATACCCTGAAGAACTCAAATCACTCTATAAAAAAGATACCAGCCAGGCTCGGTGGCTCAGCCTGTAATCCCGTGCCTTTGGGAGGCTGAGGTGAGTGGATTGCCTGAGCCCGTGGGTTCGAGACCCACCTGGGCAGCGAGACCTCATCTCTACAATAAATCAAAAAATCAGCCGGGCGTGGTAGCGCATGCCTGTAATTCCGGCTACATGGAAGGCTGAGGCGGAAGGATCGCCGGAGCCCAGCAGGTCGAGGCTGCGGAGGCCAGGAGCGGCCACTGCACTCCAGTCTGGGCAACAGAGTGAGACTCCAACTAAAAAAAAAAAATACCTTCACACATATGTTTATCGCAGCGTTGTTCACAATAGCAAGAACCTGGAAACAACCATGCTGCCCATCAAAAGAGGACTGGATTAAAAAATGTGGTACATATACACGATGGAATACTATGCAGCCATAAAAAAGAACAAAATCATGAATTTCGCAGCAACCTGGATGGAACTAGAGTCTATAATACTGAGTGATCTTTCACAGAAACAAAGATCCTAGTATCACATATTCTCACTCATATAATGGACCTTGAACATCCAATGTAATACTGTAAGAAAATGACTGACGGTACTGGGAAACTATGGGGGGGGATGGGATTAACAGTAGCATATATCTGTCTGGGGATGGGGAAACACCTCTTATCAACAGGGTGCCTGAATGAAACGTACACCTAACCCTTAACTGTACCCCACAAAACCATAATAAAAAATATTGATTATGAAAAAAAAAAAACAAAAAAAAAAACAAAACAAAAAACCCCCAATTCTTTCTGTTCTTTATTTTTGGAATATGCTCACTAACCTGAATTTTGTCGAACTTTATATCCTAGTTTGTAATAGAAAAATAAGTCACATTAAATATGTGTTTTGGCCTCTTCTCTCCCGACTGAGAATTAGTTAAGCAACAGTTGGACTAGGTTATCACAAAAGTCCTTTCCAAAACTGAGATCATGATTTTTCCAGAGTGTGTGCTCCACAGTAACAGGGTTGGGCATGAAGATTACTCCATCACAGGTTTTCAAGATAATAGCTTTCTTATGATATGTGCCATGTTCTAGGTTTTTGAGTGCCTCTCTCCATGTGTCAACAGTAGAAAGGAAATTATATTTATTTTTATGCCAAGCACAGTGTGCGGATATAAGTAATTTCGTTAATCCTCACAACAACCCTATGGTATAGTTATTACGCCTCCATTTTGCAGATGAGAAAACCAAGACTCAGAGAAAATA